ATTATAAATTGCAATTTCAATTTTTTATTATATTTATAGAATAAAACTTTTTTTATATTTTCAAAAAAATGTTTTCAAGATGAAAGTTTCTATAATATTAATTATATTTAACTCTAAATTTACCATAATAACTCTTGATGTTCTTTTATACATGCTCGCAATTCGGTAAATTTTGTGACGGCTCGAAATCTATTTGATAAGATATCACATCTCGCTGACACAAACCATAATAGAAGTGCGATAAAAACATTTGAGCATACCTGCGTATAACTTTGATATATGAGTAATGTGTGATGTAGATAAATGATAATCTTTAAAGGTTGATAGTCCACAGAAAACGGATATTCTATATCAATGGGAAAAGGATGAGGTTCTACTATAGGACTGATGATGAGCAACAAGGCGGTAACGGTGAAAGCGCATAATGAGCCTATATAAATCGATTTACAACTGTTAATGTATCGATGAAAAATATTTCTCTCCTCTGGTTTCGCTCGCTTGCAATAGTCTTCCAATTCGTAAAGTACGTACTGCAATTGAATTATGATTGTGGTTAAACAGAAATGAGTAAATGTATAGTTTAGATTACATCTCGCCAATTTTATTGACCTTCAGATACGTTATAGGGAAAAATGTCCTAATTTTCTACAATTTTTGTAGTTAAAAGTAGGAGATGGCACTGTTTTAGAAGATAAACAAATTAAGTTTTACAATAAATATAGGATTACAATTTTCCATATAAAGCGGAGCCCTACCTTCTATGGGACGAAACGAAATCTATATGATTGTACTGTTTTATATGAGTTGTCAACTTTCCACGTAAAGCAAGGTCTCATAACTCCCTCCATGTTTACGGGATGGAACTAGATCTATGATACTATTTCATATAAATTTTCGATTTTTTACACAAAATCCACCCTACATCCCTTTCTGCAGCTTACGATGCTAAACGAGATCTATTCTATATTCTTTTTCTTCTTATTTGAATAGCTCCTACCTTCAAAATGGGAGAAAGTCAAAAACGAGATAAATACTATAACTGTAGGGGAAATCCAAGCAAAGCGGACACTTGCCATTACTCGTAAACTATATGTTGGCAAGAACTAAAACGAACATAATATCCGTCTATTACCTATCTGTCGAAAGCAATTGAGTTATTAGAAGAAACACTGCATATTAATGCAGAGAATATAAAATCCAAAAACGACGATAAACTTTCAATATTTCAGGGTGTTTTTCTCCATGAAATTACACTTTCCTAAAATTACTTGTAATTATTATATTGTATTCTTAAAGTGCATATGTTTGTCTTGATTTACCATAAATCGTACAATAGTTGCTACTGACTTTGGTTTTATTTTTATTGCTTTTCAAAAAGTCTATGCTGGACAAAGTAAACCGAACAAAGTGGACCGGGCAAAGTGAATCCAGTTTGCTGGTCACCTATTTGTTTTGCCTGTCACTTATCTTTGCGCTATTATTTCTGTCTGTTACATTTTTTATTCTTTATTATTATAGATAGTCAGTAATTGTAAAAGAAAAGCTAATCAAGACCAGTGAAATGAAAAATCCATGCAATTTGCCATTAGAGAATGCAAATCTGGAAATTCTGTGAAGAAAACATATAACTAATTTAAAACGTATATGTATTAATCTTTTAATTTATTCATTAATTTGTTAATGCATTGTGCCTATCGATGTTCATTTTGCCCTATCTCCCTATCCGCTTTACTCGGGGATTAGGGCAAAATATAATAAGTACAATATAATTTTGTCTATATATTTATTTTATTAATGTTTTAAAACTATCAAATGTTTAAAAGTTCTGTTTATTATATATCTTAAGCTATAATAAAGTACATATAATTAAAATTAGCACATTGTTTCTTGTATCCATCAACCAATAGTTTTTTAAAGCCTTTTAAATTTTGGAGTATCCACTTTGCCCGAATTTCTCCTACTGTGTTTCACATGATTTTCAAACACATAATCTTTACTATTCGTAATATACCTCCTAAACCAACGCTGTTTCCTACTTAATATAAAACTTTAACTTATTATATCTCCTAAGTCAATGCAATCCTGTACTTAATTTTTGTAAGAAATTATTCAGAACACTCTTCCCTGCAACATATCTAAAGAGCAATAATATCGATGAAATGTAATTTAAACTATACATTTACCTAAAAATGTTCTTAATATAAACAAAGATACAATAAAATAATAAAGTAATATTACTTTATAATATGATTAAACTTTATATCAGTTTGCTTATTTTAACATTTCAATTTATAAAAATAAATCAGTTGATATTAATTATTATTTAAATATATCAGTTGATACTATATATAGATAATATTTAAATATAATTTTCAAACAAGAAATTAATGAAAAATATATTCTGTTAAATATTAAATATTAAATATTAAAAAATATTTTGTTTATATATGTATATCAAAGATTACAATTATTTTAAATTAAAGCTTAAAGAGTATTGATACATTTAAAAAGAATTAGAAGTATAGAATTTGAATTGTCGTACTAGAAGTATGATATCGAATGATCATGTCTACTTTCATTAAGGGAATGCTAGAATCTCCTGTATTACCAATAAAATTAGCGTTTTTGATATTTCTGTTCTTGTCGAATATCTTCGTAGTAGTTTCACAGAATAAAAATTTTTTTTTCACAATTAAAATGTATACGCTAATGTACTTATCGCTGGCGTAATTTGTGTTCAAAACTGGAAAAAATAATTCCTGCCCGTATCCTTTCTAGTTCTTTGGAAAAATAAAAAATTACAGATTTCTTTATCCATTTTATCTTTAGTGTTGATCGGTATACTGAGAAACACTACGAAGAAATCCAACAAGAACAAAAACGTCAAAAACGTTAGTTTTATCGGTAATACAGATGACTCCAGTATTCCCTTAACCCTTTGCTGCACGATGTTGTATATTTACTCTTTCGTTTTTTAATTCCCAAACTCCACTCTTAAGGTTTCTGCACATGCAATACAAAATTGTTATATAATCCTCAGATACTACTTTAATAACAAGTTAGGTACAGAAGATTTTATTTTGCAACTTAAATTACAGTTATAAACAAATGCGCAAAACATTCTACTTTTTTAAGAAAAAAATCGTTCCTGAAAAATTTTGATTAATAATCTATGCCAAAAAGTATGTATATATATTTTGGGGGGGGGGGATCGCTGATTACGAATCTGGAGTCAATTTAGCAAAATTCAATATGGCGGATCCAATATACCGGACCAAAATTTTTTTTAATGCTTTATTTGCCTTGAAAATTGGTATACAGGGGTTTTTGGGATCGCTGATTACAAATTTTAAATCAAATTGTCAAAATTCGAGGTGGCGAATCCAACATAGCGGACCAAAAATTTTAAAAAACGTTATATTTGCCTTGAGAATTGATATATTGGGGTTTTTGGGGTTAATGATTACAATTTTAAAATAAAAACCAAATTTGTAATCGGCGACCCAAAAAACTCCTGTATACCAATTTTTAAGGCAAATAAAGTATCTTTAATATTTTTAGTTCGCCATATTGGATCCGCCATCTTAAATTTTGAAAATTTGATTTCAAATTTGTAATCAACGATTCAAAAAACTCCTGTATACCAATTTTCAAGACAAATAAAACTTTTTTTATTTTGGTCCGCCATATTGGATCCGCCATATTGAATTTTACTAAACTGACTCTAGATTCGTAATCAACGATCCAAAAAATCCTTAGGTACGAAGTTCCAGAAATTTTGACTGCAACAAATAATTCGTGCATCAAAGGGTTAATATTATATTTATTACTACAAATATTATATTTATTATCATGTCTATTTTTCGTTAATATTATATTTCTTATGTAAAAAAAAATGAAAATCTGAAATATTTTAACTTATCAATAATTAATGTCCTTTTTATTAATGAAATATTTGATTTTTTATTATTTTCTTTATTTTCATAATAATTTATTTGTTTGATTCTTTTTAGTGAACAAACTTATGAGTACTTCTAATGTTAATTACTTATTATTATTATTTATTTTTGTATTAAATATATAACTAAAATAACGCTTCTTACTTGGAGACGATCATACTGAATTGTAAAGCAAATTATTTGTAAAGGAACTTCAGTAGTGGTACATAATTCGCAGCATAATTTCATTATCAAGAATAAATTCGACCGATTGCTATAAATTGTATATAATATCGCAATCATCATAATTATCCCGTGTAGAATAGAAAAGTAGCGAAATATTTTATTACGTATTATTTCACATTTTGTGGCAGTTGGTGGTAATGGCCAGCAACAAGCAAACAATAAATCCGCTTTCAAAAACGCAATAAGTTTCTCCATCGTTATATCTGCCATAACAATTGTTTGTTAAATATTGTTACAGTTACACAGTGATTTGAACTTTGTCAGGAGAAAATACTATTCACATTAAAGATACGTATGTATTTAGTTTACTATCCACGTATATTAACTGTTGGCATAAAATTTCTTCGACGATGTAATACCCCTCTAATACACATTTCCTACTTCAGTTTTGCTTCGTTCCAAAGCCGTGCATTATAGGTTTGTGAATTATTCAAGCAAATAATGTATTGACGCTGAACCGTAATAGTACAATTATGTTCTTGCTTCCCTATATGAATACACATACAATCTTAATTACTACATGGATGTAAGAGAGTTCGAAGATTATAGAACAGTGAGGAAACATAAAATACACGTGAGCAGCTTTAATTATTCTGGAAACAACTTAAACAAAAAGCGTTCTACTTTAAGAAGATAAAGTCACATCAGTAATTATATTTATTGAATTTCTGAAAAGGGGGCTTGAACAAGCAACCGAAACATATCAACATTCCGAATTTAAGAGAATAGGTTTGAATATCTCAAATTTATGTAATTATCATTGATATATAAAATAATTTTACGCAACAAGTTCTACCGTTGGCTCTTTAATACTCTGTAAACTTATATCATTATAATTATATATCTACACACACACGCACACGTATACGCACACGCACATGCACACGCACGCGCGCGCGCGCGCATATACATGTATAATACTATCAATATATAATATATGTATAATGTTGATAAAAAAAATCGTTATGTTATCATATGCTTATTTAAAATATATTTAATGTTTTATATTAATAAATACTTAATTGTTAAAAATTGTAAAAATTAACTGTGAGGTTTGTTCTGCTTTTATACTTGAGATGAAAAGTACTGAATCTAAAATCATTAAAAATAAATATTAATCAAACACATTAACTTTGTAAATTTTGTCTTATATGCAATTATGCAGTATATATAAAAGTAATAACGTTTTTTTATGCAGATCGTCCCGTTTTTATCACAAAAATTAGCTATATATTATAGTAGATTTTCAAGTAAAAAAAAAAGGATTAATCTGTAAAAGTCCTCCACTCCGCCGATTATAATCAACGATCACCTTCTATTTACATATATATCGTAAAATGGAGTAATTTTAGCCTAATTTTGATAATATCATCTAAATAGCGCGTTTATCCACACATAAAATCAGAATATAAAAGGAATTTTAAAAACGTCTTAAAATGATTAAAAATTGCCTTATTATGTCCTTTGTGGATTGTGGACATACAGGTTGTTCATGTATTTCTTACAATTTTAAGCCAAAGTTATTCCATCTGAGTCAAAATTATCCCATTTTACGATATTTAAATAGTTTTATTATTTATTAATTCTTTACCATTTATTTTACAATGTATTATAAAATTACAAGATACAATTATAACTTTATTTAACAAATGTGACATAACATACAATAATTATTTGCATTAATTAAAAATAGTTTAATATACAAAATTATATAATACAATATATATAAAATTGAATATAAAATATAATAATATATACATTATTACTAATATAATACAATAATAAGTGTATACTACTAATAATAATAATGATATTAAGACCATAATTAACAAATTTTAATAATAAGGGATTATACTCTCATTATTAAATGTCAAAAATAAAATAACACAAATTTTACTATTAGATGTATAACTAAATTCCCATCGTTTTAATTAACAAAATTCTTTTATTAATACAAAAGAAACAATACAATGGTTTTAATCAAAACATTTGCTGTTTGTATTCATCATTTTTCGCCATCTTTCAATCGCATATGAATACCGCGGCAAAAAAATGTTTTATCTTTTAATGCGATAAAGTCATCGACTTATTTCTTGATATTTACTATATTTTGTAAGTGTGATTGTTTGGAGAGACGGTGCTGCATCAATCGGAACAAATGGTAATCAGGCGGCACAATCACGTCGTATTGGAAATTGACATTCCAATTGGTCCAGCACTTCTGGAACTTACTGTGTCGGGCAAATCAAAGCATACGAGGTCTGTTCAAAAAGTATCGCGAATTTTGTGTTTTTTCAAAAATTATTTATTTCTTCATGAATATCTATTTTGTCCCCTTCAAAGTAATCCCCATCAGATATTATACACTTGTGCCAACGTTTTTTCCAATCCTCGAAGCACTTCAAAAAATTATTTTTTGTGATCTTGTTCAGCTCCTCCTTCGATGCCGTCTTTATCTCCTCAATCGTAGCGTAGCGTCGTCCTTTCATGGGCCTCTTCAGTTTCGGGAACAAGAAAAAGTCACAGGGGGCCAGATCTGGGGAATACGGTGGCTGCGGCATCATTAATGTGTTGTTTTTGGTCAAAAATTCGCGCACAAGCAACGATGTGTGAGCAGGGGCGTTATCGTGGTGCAAAAGCCAATTTTTGTTCTTCCACAAATCCGGGCGTTTCTGGCGGATTGCTTCGCGCAAATTGCGCATAACTTGCAGGTAATATTCCTTATTGACCGTTCTACCCTGTGGCAAGAACTCATGATGCACCACGCCCCTGCAATCGAAGAAAACTGTAAGCAAAACCTTCACATTCGACCGAACTTGGCGCGCTTTTTTCGGTCTTGGCTCGTGCGGCAGCTTCCATTGGGATGATTGAGCTTTGGTTTCCACGTCATAACCATAAACCCATGATTCGTCACCAGTTATGACCCTCTGGAGCAAATTTGGGTCGTCGCGGACAGAGTCCAACAGCTCCTTAGCAATGTTAATGCGATGCTGTTTTTGGTCGAAATTGAGCAATTTTGGTACGAATTTCGCGGCGACCCGTCTCATGCCCAAATCATTGGTAAAAATCGAATGGCACGAGCCAATCGATATGTTTAGGTCCTCAGCAACCTCTCTAACGGTGATTCGACGATTGGCCAATACTATTTTCTTCACTTCATCAATGTTTTCGTCTGTTGTTGACGTGCTCGGGCGTCCGGCACGCTCTTCGTCGTTCACATCTTCTCGGCCCTCTGAGAACATTTTGTACCACCGATAAACGTTGCTTCGGTCCAAGGTAGCTTCACCATATGCCACAGTCAACATTCGGAATGCGTCCGCGCACTTAATTTTGTTTTTCACACAAAATTTGATACAGATTCTTTGATCCATTTTTTGGAATAGGCAAAAATCGAAGACGAGCCAAAACACGTGCAAGCAAAGCAGCTGTCAAAAATTAACTGAACATTCAAAATGGCCGAACTTGTCGGCATAAGTGAGAGACATGAGTACCAACATAACGCCACAAAAAATCGAAAATCGAATATACGTAACCCGCGGAAATTCAAAATTCGCGATACTTTTTGAACAGACCTCGTATATCTCCGACGCACCCGATCGTACATAAGACTCGTTTCGGATAGATTTTAGCCGGACGTTTAGTACATGCATCGGATTCTATTAAAAGTGTACGATCTTTTCATACTTCAATTACCAACGCGCAGCTGCATAATCAATTATCGCATTTTTGAGATATCGAGAACGTCTCCGAGGCTTCAAATAGTTACAAGAAAAAGGAAATTTGCTGCAAGCAACATTTCTTACAAAACCTGTCTCAAATTACCCAAGGTAGATTTATTGTCAAGTTTCCCTTCAAGAAACTCGGTCCTAATACTTTCGCTGACTCTAAGAATATCGCTTTTAAACGTTTTTTATTGAGAGGCGGTTTAAATATGCAGTACTTGCAATTCATAGACAAATACTTCGAGCTAGGTCATCTGAAATAGATCGATGAGAAATCTAGAGAGGATTTAGAGTCCTTTTATTTACCTCATTACTGCGTTATTAAATCTGCATCTTTTCTAATAAAATAAGAGTTGACGTCTCAGCCAAAGATTGGCGTCTCGTTAAACGAGACATTTTCAGGTTGGTCCGACCGTCCAACAGAACTTATTCTCCATCTTGTTCCGATTTCGCACATTCTTTTTCGCAGCCGACATGATTAAAATGTATAGGCAAGTCTTAGTACATCCTTTACAAACGCGCTATCAGCGTATTTTCTAGTGGGATAATCTCGCTTTCAATGTCGCAACCTACGAACCATGACGTACGGCACATCTTTCACCTCGTTTTTAGTCATGCAATGCTTTAAGTGATTAGCTGAGCATTATGCAAACGAATGTCCTAGCGGTTCTGCATGTATTGCGAGATTTTCACGTCGATGACATGGTCACGGGAGCCGATATAATTAACGAGGCATTAACGCAACGAGACATCAAAGTTCTATGTTTAGAACTTTGGCGTTCGAACTTGGCAAATGGGTATCCAGCTGCTCTGACTTATTGGCGGATATCAAAGATGATAGCTCCGTTACAATTGACAATGGCCTAGAATCATCTGTATTAAGCATTTACTGGAATCAGTTTCAGGATACATATCATTTCATTACAAATCCGATAATGATTCCACAATGGTTTCCAAACAAACCATACTCTCTGAAATTTCCAGACTTTTTAACTCTTTCAGGCTGCTAGATTGTTCAGTTAATTCTGTAGGAACTCTGGCAGCTGGGCATTCATTGGGATGAGTCAGTCCCACAAGAACTTCATTTGCGGTGGCAGAAGCGCAAATCGCAATTAGCTGATATCAATAAACTCTCTATTCGGCGCTCCATTAAGTCCACTGTAAATTTTCAATCGGTAGAAATGTTCACGGCTTTTGCGACACAAGCCAACAGGCTTACGGAGCATGCGTTTATGTGCGCTCTGAACTCGGGAACGATACGTATTGCATCGAGCTCTTCGAAATCGCGCTTCTTAAAATATTCTTGTCACGCCTCGAACTCTCTGCAGCGTTATTGTTGGCTAGGTTAATTAAGAATATCGGAGCGTTATTCAAGTTAGCTAGCATGCAAATATTTTTGTGTGTTTACACAAAACTGATGTCTCGCAATATGGCGAGTTTCGTGCTGTGGACATGTGCCCGCCACACGTGCTACCGGATGATTCTGTCGGAAGCGATGTGGTCAAGAGAATGCAACACGTTTCTCTCTGAGTTAAAATTAATTTTAACTCATTTTGCTCTGGATCACAATAGTCGTAGGTGCAAGCACAGACAAAGATGTTCAATTTTGCCGCGTAAAACGGGTATCGTTGTTCGCACCGATCGCGCGGCCATTCGTCACAAAATGTACTAACACACACATACAAAAAAGCAGATATAGGCGCCCTCTTGTCTTATGACACCGTTCAGCGCCTAACGCCGGCCAATCATGGTCGCGCCGATACGACCAGCCAATAGCCAATTATGCGCCTATTGCGCAGGACCGCGCGCGAGTTACGACTGTTTGGTCAACGTACGCGGATTATGCCTCAAGGAAAATGAGACGCGACGGAAGAAAATGTATTAATTGTAGTATTTGCGATACAACGCCACCCCCGTTGAAAGATTCCACTTTCAAGAAAAGGAAAAGCAAAGGAACAAACGATTGATTGATTAGCAGAGATTCGACGCGATAATGCTTGAACACATAATATAAGTAATACAATACTTGAACGTATCGATACAGAGTTAATATGCTTAACCTAACTTACAATAGGATTACGCAACAGGAAATCTTACGTACTAATGACTAATTCCCGTTGAGTTAAGTTTCAATGGGTAATATTAATAATCTAGATAGCGGTCTTGTGAGAACGCCCTTCGCCGTCTTCACCTCGGCTGTTCTTACAATGCCGTCGATGCCGGCGTGAACATCTTGCACACGCATAGCCGTTGAAGAGGGCGTAGGCCCTGCTGTTTTACGAGCACAACTTGACCGATTTTTAATTGCTCCCCTTTACTAAACTTCCATTTGGAACGCGTTTGCAAAGTGTGGAGGTATTCTGAGCTTCACCGCCGCCAAAAGTATTGCCTTAGTTGCTCTACGCGTTGCCGACGAGTCGATTCTCGTTTATGTCGCTTAAGTTGTGGTAAGGGAAACCATCCACAATAGTATCAATTAGGAAATGCCCCGGACTTAAGTAAAGTCATTGGAATCCTCGCTCAAGGGAGTAATAGGCCACGAATTTAATATTGCTTCTATCTCGCACAGGATCGTCTACATTTCTTCGAAAGTTAAACGCGCATTGCCAACTAAACGAAGTAGATGAAGTTTTGCTGACTTTACCGCGGCCTTCCATAGTTCTCCGCAATGCAGGGCGTTAGGGAGAATGAAATTCCACGTTATTTGTTGTTCTTGCAGCAAGACATTAATTTTATCTTGTACACTGCCCTTGCTTAAAAACGCAAAGAATTCTTGTAACCGATGGTAGGCTCCAACGAAAGTCCTGCCATTATCTGAATAGATTTGAGAGGGTTTTCCCCTGCGCAATATCAACCTCTTGAGGGCCGCTAAGAAAGAATCTGTGATTAAATCGCTAACTAGTTCTGCGTGTACTGCCTTAGTGACAAAACACACGAATATGGCAACGTATGCCTTACGAGTACGTGCGTTCCGACGCTTCCTTCCCGCAAGGTCAATGGACTGGCGTAATCTACGCCACAATACGAGAATGGCCGGAAAATGGTTACACGATGAAATGGTAGAGAGGCTTCATGACGGCTTCCGAATGAATAGGCTTGACCTTGAAACATTTAACGCACCTTAGAACAATTTATCGCATTAACGATCGCAGCGCTAGAGGCCAAAATTGTCGTCTTACCGCAGCCATGGTAGCTTGAGTGCCGGCATGTAAACTGCGGACGTGTGCTTCTATAACGATTCGCCTTGTCAGTTCGTGGTCTTTCGATAACAGTATGAGCTGACATGCGTCATGCATCAAGTTCGAATACTTTAATCGATCTCCTACCCTTATTAATCGCTGTCGTCGAGGAATGGGTTGAGCGCCAGAATCCTACTGTTGAGGTCCTTATTGTCGTTAAAAGCCTTGTACTCTTCAGGAAAGAAGTGTTGCACAATTCTGCACATTGATTGTGACGCTGCTGTTACCTCTACATGAGAGACGAAGTGTATGACAATTCCTGACGGTTTCTACAAAAATCTCAAGCAATAGGCTATTATATAGGCGGTAGACCTTGTAAAAATTTGAATGTTTGCTGATTATTTCTTCCACGATACTGGAATCGTCGACGGCAACATTGCTGTGCACTCTTTGAAGCTCGGAAGCGTCATCTTCCTGACGCAAGAACTCGTTGACTGACCAATCTCATCGCGTCATAGAAAATCAGGGCCTGTTTACCATGTC